ACTACCGTGTCGGCATGGTACGTGCAGTTTTCGGTACTGGACCATTAGCGGGGGGAAACCGGTTTTTCCTAGTAGTCTTGTACGGTCCTATAGCGAAATATAGACCATTTCCAGTATTTGAAAATTTTTTGGATATAAAAAGCTCCCAAAAACTTCGAATTCGAAAATTTTTTAACTTTTTGGTTAAACCCGCATAACAAAATGACCAAAACGTGTCAAAATTGCGCAATTTTTTATTTCTAAAATTTCTAAACGATACTTTAAATGTTTTTTAGTTTACCACTGCAAATGCATCGACCCGTGGTTGACGAAGAATCGAAAAGTGTGCCCGATGTGCAAGCGAAGAGTGGGCGAAAAGGGCTCCGACAGCGAAGATTCCGACTCCGGCTCGAGGGTGTGTTATAGGCTTCTGAATTTCCAACGTTCGAATTATCATCGAAGCCAACTAAAATAGATAATTCTTTGTTTTTAATGATTTTTCGATAGTTACGTTTTCCAAAAGCTTAGTCTTTCAGTTCACAATCCAGGGCCTCACCATTGTGGTGGTAAAAATTCCTATTTTTCCAAGATTACGATTACGTTTTTAAAGCGGCCATTAATAATAGGCTTCTCAGAAAATAATAATAACCTAGTCGCTGGGTACTAGCAATAATTTTTTAACTTTTAGTACTTCTTTAATAATTTTTATCTCAGCCCAACCCGCTCATCGACCAGAACCGATATCGCGAGCTGCGGGAAGAGCCGTCGGTCGAAAATTTGCACGATCCAGAGCAAGGTAAGAACTTTTATCATAAATAAGCTATATTTAATGAAGTTAGAATGTAATTTTTATAATTTATATTTTCAGCCAGTTCTTCGACCTCTCATCACCATCTGGAGAACTACGACGCGACGCCGGTGCCGATTGGCGACACCGAGCAGTTGGTGCCTAGTGATGATGACAGCGACATCGAAGTTGTACAACCCAGGCCAAGGTATGGAAGATTACGCTTTTTTTCCGGAACGCATAGCGGTGCTGATTCGCGTAGCTTGTTGTAGATTAGCGGTTTTGAAAATTTACGTTTTAGTGACCTAACTTTGCGTTTACTATTTTTTTGTGACTTTTTTGTCTTTTTCGCTCCTCTTGATTCGTTTTTTACTTTTCGTTGAAATTCAATCCCATTTTCAGCCATCACGAGTCCGGTACGTCGATGCACGTCTCCTCCTCGGCGACGTCGTTGAAGGAAAAATTCAAGAAATTCGTGATGCGAGTCAGCGGGGCCTCGCCGGTTAGTGTAAAGCGAAAAAATTTATATATTTTGGTTTTTAGCCCTCCGATCTGCCGACCGGGCTCGACAACGTGGTCTTTGACGAGAACGCCGTCAACAATTTGCCCCCACCATCGGCCGTGATGGCGCTCGTTAATCAGTGAGTTTTATGGGGGTTTTGGAGTTACGCCTGAATTTTTTTTCAGGAACTGAACTATTAACGGGGGAAACTTAACTATGAATTGTTGGATGGGTTTTTATATTCGAATAACGAATAAATACGAGAAAATTGCCGCTAGAAAATCTGTATTTTTTATTCATTTTGACCTAGAACAAAAATTAAGTGATTTAATTTTTTTTATTATTTCGGCGTTTTGTTCGGGAAAGACCCGCCGTAAACCTTGCTACCTTTGTTCGAGAGCGTAAAATCTTTTTCAGCACCGACGAAACGGAGCTACACCCAGCCGCTACGCACCACTCCGACGAACACCAATTCGCCGACCCGTTCGAGCCGCCGCGGGACCCCGGACATCCCTAAAAACCCTGTATCTACCGTGTACATAACTGTCCGTACTGACACCCCGTTTCTCGATGTACGGTTCAACGTACTCACCACTAATGCCCAAAGCTCCCCAAAAAAACCTCAGTTTCTCGCACACCCTATTCGATGCCTTGTGTTTTCTCTGGTCAGGTTTTCCCCCGCCCCAAAAATTGGCCTTACACACTTTCCGCTGTCTTACAAACTACACCCTATTTCACTCAACACTCGAATCTTTCCTATTTTTATATTTTTTTAATGCGATTTACTAAGCCCTAACCGGGTATTGGGTCTCTGCCGCTACATAATTGCCTTTTTTACGCGCGATTTCTCCAATTTTTCGGTGTTCTAATCTAGCCACTCTTCCCCTCCCGGATTCCGCTGCTAAACGTACAATTACGGTTTGTGCGTGTTTTTTACAACTTTCCACTATGCTACGGCTCAACGTACAGTACGCCCAGTGTTTCCCGCGTGAAAATTTGATTTTCTAACGTTTTTAAAGTCTAAAACCCGAATTTTAGCGAAATTTTTGTCAACCCGATCCAACTGCCCTGTTGGTTGTGGCCGAAATTTGATAACCTATCTTTTTTTAACTCACCAAATCTCAACAAAATTCCACTTTTTAAACGTTGCTCACCCCGCCTAAATACCCTCAATTTCCCCGCTGTCTGCCTTCTGCGCCCCCGATTCTAAATTCACCCAGGCACCAACCCGATCGATTACTATTGCCATGCTTCACTTGTCGTTTTTAACTTTTTAACGTTTTTTTTGTTGTCTATATTCTGTATTTTGTACCGTATCGTTGTTGACCGCACCATCGGGTCCCCAAAAGAATCGAAGTCGCTGTGACGATTTGATTGTTGTAACTTACCCTGAAATTGATTCGTGAATTCATTCAGTGTATCGGCTTTATTTTTTCGACTTATGATATCCACTGCACTACGCATAAATACTGCTTACAGAGCGTTGGGAGACGGAAAATGCAGGTGGTGAAACGACTGTAAATGTATATTTTCAGCTTTGAAAGTACACAAAATGCCTACTTAATACACATGTGAAGGGATTAGCTTCTTAAAATTCTTGAGGGTTTTCTTTCTGGTGTTTAGGTCTATTTTGGCATTAACACAAGCCACCTATTTTTAACTTATCAATGTTTAGTATATAGAGGGGTTTGTTTGGTATTTTTAGGCTTTTATACGGTATTTTAGTTTTATATTCGTTATAGGTATGTTTTAAGTCTTAAAATAGAAAACTGCGTTTGTTAACAGTATCAAAAGTATACAAACTTTATATTTTAATTTAATTTTTAATTTGTTAGGGCCGAATTACAGTTTTCTAAATTATGCATGGGCTTCCAAGCCGACAAACAATCGTTAAAGCGTAGAAACATTTCTACAGTTATATTTTTTTAGTTTTTAAATTAATTACCAGTGGGAGCCGCGTTTTCTAAAGCTCACTCGGCCGCATATTTCACCCTGCAGATCACTTTAACCCGCCAAAAAACTCCAAATTTCGGCCGTTCCCGACTCAGGTCCCGGGAGACCACCCCCCATTTCCTGGTGCTACTTTCCCCTGCTCGACGGTTTTTGATGGATGAGAAGCCCCGGATCCACCCCGGGCCCGCGCCATCCAGTCTAAAGGGCACTCCTCACTCCACACACGCCAGCGAGATTTTGGATAGTGGGACTGTGGATAGCAGCGCCTCGTACTCCTTCGAGGGATAGGATCAAAGCGTACGAATGGCCAGATGGTGCTCCGGACGGTGTCGATGACACAGCCCACCCACTCGGCTCACAGATTGAGCTCAGCCGGGGGCCACTGGCTAGAGTTTTATATTTAGTGAATTTTGATCTATTTCAAGCGTGCGTTCAGGGAGGTTGACGTATGTCCCTTTTTGCGCAGTTAGACCGAGACAAAAAGGAGAGCGAGAGAGGGAGAAAGAGGGAGAGACGCAGATGTCCATAGGAATGTGCGTCCAACCCCTTGAATGTCACTTTAACGCCGCTTTTTTGCATTCACGTGATTAAGGAACAAAAAAAATAGACAATTCACTACAAGTTATGTTCAGTGGAGCGTTGTGTAGTCAACATCGAAAGAGATATGCCCGGATTTCGAGTATTTTATTGGTGTCGATCGGCAAATCAGCGCTGATAGACCAAATTCAAGGCGTAAAAAATAAAACGCGGATAACGACGCTCGAATTTTCCTTCTTCTTCCTAAATACCCAACGTACGCTTTAAAATTGCTAATTTCGGGCAATTTCGCAAATCAGGGTTGTAGCGAAGAAGACGCTACCAAAAATAGCCCGAAAATCCTATAAATAGCAGCTACGCGTGATACCACCCCGACCACCCAACATGACATTTCCGGTTCCAGTTAATCCATCTTTTAACTCGCGCTGTCAAATTAATTCGATCTCAATTTTATCAGCCGAACTGTGTACTAGGTCCCTGCCCTTGCTTACCCCGGACCGACGATGGTTTTCGACCGTCTATAGGAGTGTAGGGGACGGGGGAGAGGGAGATATATCTCTCATCCCGATATAACACAGTCAGAGCCCAGGATCCTCCGCCTCCTCCCCCGCCTCGCCGATCCGAGAAGCCAACCCAGGATCTGTTGGCTGGAAAACACAGACTCACCCGCGTTTGTGTGCGCGCTGGGCGCGAGTGAGTGATGCGCCTATTTTGCCAAACCGAGCGCCCGGGATGGCGTGCCATCATCATTGGTCGGGCTTTATTTTGGCGGTTAGGCGGGGGATTTGAGCTTGTTTTTCCTAATGGTGATGCTCTACATTTATGTATTTTTACCCTAATTTTTCTAAGAAACCTAAAAACGACCGGATTAAAAAATTTTACGCTTTGTTTTCATGCTTTGGTTGAGGGATTTGCCGGCTTTTTGCTACTCCAAATTTTGCTTTTTTCATTACTTGTCAGGTTTAATTTTCAAAATACTTATAATTAGAAGGCTTTTCGGATAAACGAGGATTCCGGAATCCGGAATCCGGAAAATTCCGGAATCGAGCACATAATAATTTTCTAAGAACTGAATTCTGCATTTTTTTACCTTTTTAAAATCTACCCAACTGATTTGCCTTGATGTCAGTCTCCCATTAATTTTCCCGGCTTCTTCGACAACATCTTGACGTTATTTCCTTTTATTTTTCGCTGTTTCTGCAATATTTATCTAAGTTACAAAATCATATACTTTTCTAGAAAATGCTGAAAGCAGAAGGCGACGGCAAGGAGCAGCAATCGTGTAGCTATGGCTGGTTGACAATCGTAGCTGTTGCCGTCATCCTGATCTCGACGGTGTTGACGTTCATTTTCGCCGATCACATGTACCACGGGACTGAGGATTATTCGGGAGTGAGGATAGAGCAGGTAGGGTTGTTTTTAGGGATAAAAATATGTCATATACCTAGACAATTATCCTTACTAAAGTTTGCGTTCAAAACTACAACTTTCACGGCGCTAATAGTTGTATTTAGATACATTCTTAATTCTGGAATTGTTCTTTTTTGCTGTTGAAAGTTGTTTAAAAAGATTTGGGAGAAACCGTGACTAGCCATTTTTGATTTTCGTGCTCTGGCTTTTTTTCTGTGGTTTTAGCCGGTTTAAACTGCTCTGGTCAAAACCTTGACCGGCCCGTAACCACGTCCTAAATAGCCTCCAAAATTCTACTATCAAATTAGGCGCCGCCAACATGGCGCGAGGGTGGTGGCCGAACGACAAATACGGATATTCCCAAATTGCAAACCCTCGGCACGCGTCAAGGTTTCGAAAAACATCAAGGAGGGCTATCCCAAAACCCCAATCAGCCTAGCGGAATTCGGGAAGAGCCCACATTTTCATCCCGAGAAAAACTGAAACAGTCGCCGAGTAAAGGGACCAGCACTTCCTCAAAATCTTCCTCTCTCGTCAAAATTGATAAGTTGTGGGGAGGGAGAGAGACACTCAACTCGTTTGAGGGAGAAATCTCATGCTCAAAACTGGAAATGAATTGGAAAAGTATGATCCTAAATTTGCAGATCGAATGGCTGCCCGCGCAAGGATTCGCCGCCGTTCCGCAGAAGGTGAGCGAGAAATTTGGGTTGTGAAATTGTTTGAAACAGTTTTATGCGAATTTTAAAGTGATTGGCAAGTCTGGGTTGTAACTTTGCCATAGTATAAATAGCATTTCCAAATTAAAGATTAGTAAAAGTGTTTTTAGACTTTTTGACAAAGGTGGGATGAGTCATTTCTCGTTTCCCCAAATCCGGAGATTCCTGGAGCCCTTGTAAATAGCCCATTCGCGGAAATAGTCGTCATTACGGAACTTTCGGAACTTAACTTTACGTTATGAGGAGAGCGATAGAGAGAGAGAGCGAGAGAGAGAGAGACGGAGTCAGAGCGAGAGACCAAGATATTTTTCCCTCGTAGCAGTAAAGCTAATCGATTACCCTATTTATTTCAGAGCTTCACCATCGCACGAGTGGCCCAGGACCCTGAGATGTGTTTCTTGATCCCCATCGAGTTGGAAAAGGTCAGAAAAATCCAGAAAATGAAGTCAATTTCTACTTTAGGAAAACGTCGCACTCCGAGTCCGACGAGCCCCAAGGCAATCCAGATTTACGCTCCAATCCAAGTCTTGCGGCGTCATCCTCGAGCTGGAGAAGAGTGGTGAGTAGATGAATCTTGGATTACTGTAGCTAGTACAATATTTAATTTACCACAATTTATTTTGGATGGCAAAAGCTCTTCCTTGACCCTTGACCCTCTTGTTTTTGTTTTGCCCGAAGATCCATCATTCTCTCGGCTCCTGAAATATGGCAACTCCTGTGCGTCAAACGTTATCAACAAGTTTTTTTTGGAACGGTCATTATCATCGGGATGAATTCCTGGAAAAGCGGGGGTTATTTTGGGGGCCGAATCTCCTCGATCCATGGCGACCGGCGCCACCCTGGGGGCGTCGACCAGCTGATTCGGGATGGGAAAGTGATCGAGTGGGGATAAGGGGGAGAGCACTGCCTAGGGGAGCACATGATCCGGGGGTTAAAGGGATGGTGTCAGCAAGGTAGAGCGAGAGAGGGAGAGAGAGAGAGAGCGAGAGCGAGAG